GTGTAGAAAATTTCATCGCGATCTGACTCTCCTTTCGAAAGTTATCGTGTATACGGACGGACGGCCGGACACACAGACCGATTTTAGTAGTGTACTCACTTTTTGAGTACACAAAAAATGATCTTTCTTTATTTTTCTTAATGGCGCCTACAATGAAAAATAAACAAAATACCTGAAATGAGACGCTTCCAGTATTATCCCTAAGTCACATTTCTTCATAAATTTATCGTTTTTTTTTTTCTTGGAAATATGCGAAAACGCCCCAAAAGCAAAAAGATATGTCTACCAACACTATCAAAGAATGAATGAAAACATTGATCAACGCTTGAAAAGTTATATTGAGCGATCTATAATATTCATTATATATTTACTAACAATTAGAAATAGATGTTATTTCAAAATTTTTTGGTATTAAATTCGAATGCCTTTCCATGAATTCTGGTTCGAAAATTTTATATGAAAAAAAAGTATACTATTGACTTTCGTCTATAAATAGCAATGAAAAAAACAACAGATCATTTTACATTTCACAAAAATGCAAGCGATTCAAGATTCATTTAGGGTCTTTCTGCTTCACAAATTCAATTGATTTCGCTAAGCATATGTTTCCCTGTTACTGATGATACTGAACTGGAATACAATGTTTGTGACCAATGTTATAATTATGGATACATATATGAATTCTTTTTCCTTCACGATAATACATTTTCACGTTTTTGATAATTCATTTTTCTATTCTTATGTTCAGTTACTTCGTCATACGATTCATTATCATTTGTAGATGGCAAAACAATATAGACTGAAGTAGAATAAGTTGTTCAATCATTTTTTTCGCTGTAGGATATTAGTCGATATAGAGAACACATAGTGAAATAAATAAAAAATTGTTTGTCTAAGAAAGCTTAATTTCTCAAATATTAAAACATTTTCGAATCAGAATTTGTAGTAAAATATTCAAGTCTTTTATCAAAAAAAAAATGAAATTACATCTATTTCTGATTGTTAATGAATATATAAAGAATGTTATAGGTTATTGCCCAAACAGATTAAATTGATGTAAGAACTCAGTTAAATTTTTTGCTTTCATGTAACGATTTTAAAATTTTCAACAAAATTTTTAGTGATCCATAGTTAGTGCATTACATTTATCATATTTTCATTTCATTCAAAAAAGATTATTTTGGAAGAGAATATTCTTCAATAGGTAGCTGAGAGAATGTTAGTTAATATGTTCCCAATAAAAACTTGAATATTATTATAACTAATTCATTCGACGTTATAATACACTTTAACATGAATAGGTTTATGTTTACTCTAAAGACAGTTTATGACTACGAATAAAGCTCTCTTGAAATCTTTAGAATTATAGGTAAAGAAATGTGCCATAGAATGATGAACATATGGTAAAATAATTAATATGGATAAACGAATAGAAAAAGATTTTTTGTAAAGAAAGAATAAACTTTGTGGCGAAAACATACAAGTTGATAATAAAACGTGTTCTATGATCGTTCTTGTTGACGAGACAATTTTTCTATAACTAATATAAAATGAGCGTGTATGAAAATGTTTTCCCTGCACTTGAGAAAAGTGGATGTTGGAATTGTTAAAAAAAAGTACTCTATTATTGGAAAATTGTCTCTTCATTTGTTTTTTTTTTTGATTCATCAATCTATTTTGATATTGTAGAAGAAAAGATAATATTTTCTATTGTTTCGACAAAGTGAAATACTACTTGCGTCAACTCGAGTAAATCTGTTTCGGCTGACTATTGTCTATATCAAAATAGAATGTGGTTCATTGTTTTTCGAATCACTTTTGATAGGAACATCATGGAGACCTGTGGTTTTCACCATGCATGAGAGAAGATTCTGGTCCATTGAAAGATATCGAAATTTGATTAGTTAGCAATACCTACACCCAAATATCGATATAATTTGATGGTTTCTGGTCTTATTCTTTGAATGGTGAAAACCGCCGGTTTCTATGATGTTCCTATCAAACCTTATTCAAAAGCCAATGAAGCACATTATATTTTGAAATCAATGTTAGTACATATCGAACTACAATTATTTACGAGACTATGCTGTTACCATAGTTCATATAGCATCAAAAAAGTAGATATCTAGAATTCATATTGAATAATTGACCTAATGATAAGCACATGTAAAATCAGCAAAATGAATATCAATATAAAGAGTTTTCAATGTTTCTCTTAGGGATTTTTTATCAATAGTTTAAAGATGATTCAATCGATTGTTAGATTAATTAGAAAAAGTATCATCATCTTCATAAGAATTTATAATGTTGAATTAGACATTATAGAATTTCTAAACTTATTTTCCTTTTTACTATTCAAGAATGTTATGAATACATTTTCAGCACAAGGATTTTCGATAGTATCGACATTTTCTGAATTAGTATATTCTCTTTTCGTTACAATTTAAGTTCTCTTTAAAAACTTCACACGATTTTAGATGAAGTGTTAGATAAAATGAATAACTCTTTTGATTCTAAAAATACCTGTTGGTTAAATTATCATGTGGAAATATTTCGTCAGTTGGAGCAGTAAAGAACCAATCGAAATACTTTAATTTATTGATTTCTTTTCATAATATAGCTTCTCAATTTAAAAAAAAAGCCATATAAGAAAACTAAAAGAAATGTTTTTTTTGCAAATAGACAAAGAAAAAATTTATCGATCCCTATATCATAAACGAAAAAAAAAAACGCTAAAATACAAATTATAAACCCAAACAAAACAAATAGATTTAGCGTTGTCTAATAAACATTATAGCAACTCTGCATCTATTTTGAACAAGTCATAAAACTACAATTAGTACCAACACTTGTTGATTTACTTTTTTTAAATAAGTAAATTGACTAATGCCTCACCTTTCAGTGTTCTATTATATATTATGATATTTTTGATAATATCAAATATGTCGTGTCGTTCTTATATGCACAATTCTATTCTAATTTATAGTGCATAGCATTCATTAAGAATTAAATTGTAGGTAAAATCAATATTATTGCTGACAGTTAAAACTTTACACTATATTTTTGGTCAGGCTATATTTCTCTCTTCTAATTGTTTTTCTTATTATCAAATTCCTTACAATGACACACATCAACAACATGTTCTACAGATCGAATCAATTTTTTTATCATCAGTTTAGTCGTAGTTTTAATACCTACATCATCGACTGAGAGATGATTAGAACAAAATCGAATCGAAAAATCTTCAGAAAAATACTGATAAATTTCGAAATAAAATATGTCAATCAATTGTTCACGGTGATTACATTGACTTAAAAGAATATAATACAAGTGAAAAGAGAACAGAAAAAAAAAAGAGTCTTAACAGCTGAAAAGTCTTCATAGTAAAGCATGAAAAAAACAGGATGGCAGATGTTGGTTGGACGACGAAATGTATAAGATGAGAATGACACAGCGTAAGCAAGTAAATTAAATATAAATCTGAATTGATAAAAAAAGGAAGAGAACACATGAAAAATAAAGTGATTTTAGTTCATTGTAGATACTATGAAGCTGTTATTTTTATTTGTTTTGAAATTTATTCAATATATTGAACAATTGTTAAAAAAAGAAAATGTATCATTTATATTAATTAAATGAAGAAATAGGAATTTTATAATACAAATATGGAAAGAATATTTATACTAACTAAAACTCATTTAAAACTACCAGATACATACGAATTTGGAGTAGATAAAAAGACAATTAAATTTATTATTTTATTAACTATTTTCATTATATTTCTTATAATTATATCAACTATTTCTTCATCAAATCGAAAATTAATCATAAAAAATATAATAAATCCAGTGGATAATTTTTATTCTTGTATTGCTGTGCTTGTCGAATTTCGTACAGTTGATCATATTATTGCAATTGTTCATAATGTTAATCATCATATTCCATCAACATGGCCAATTCAAATATTTCATGGAAAAGATAATGAAGGTTTTATTAGAAATTCAACTTTAGCACCATTAATTGCATCAGAAAAAATTCTTCTTACATTCATGAATCAAACTTATGATCGTGCTCGAACAAATGAATTATTAACAGATCGTAAATTTTGGCAACGTGTTCGTGGTGAAAAAATCCTTCTTTTTCAAATCGATTCAGCTATGTGTTCAAATTCTCCACATAAAATTACTGATTTTCTTCAATATGACTACATTGGTGCTCCATGGGATCTTTCATTTTTTACATTTGATAAACAATATCGTGTAGGAAACGGTGGATTTTCATTACGAAGTCGTAGTAAAATAATTGCTTTACTTGCACTTGTGCCATATGATTCCAGAATGCCAGAAGATGTTTGGTATGCACAAAATTTACATCGAGTTAATGGATCAATACCTTCAATTGAAATAGCAAAAACATTTTCTGTTGAATCAATGTATTATGCACGACCATTAGGTGTACATCGATTTCCTTGGCATTGTCGATTTCGTGCAGATTTAGCAAATACATGTCCTGAATCAATGCTAATTATGCCAGATGTATGCCATTAATACATTAATATAATATTTATAGACAATAATGAAAAGAAATTTTCTTTGCTGCTTTTTACAATACAGTTTCTATATGAATGTAATAGTATTTGATGAATAATTGACAAATTTAAATTTGAAAATTTATCGTGTTTACTGTAAAAATATTGGATGAATATTTTAAAAAATACTTTAATAATATGATCAAATAACTGCTCGATCAAAATATTAGAACTCTATATACACTTCTTCTCTCAAACACAAATGAAAATCATTTCGTGAACAATCATTATGTATACATTGCTGCATATTTTATCTCATTATTAGTTCAGCATATAAATTTTCGAATTTAGTGAAAATATTTTATATGATATATGTTTAATAAATAATTTCAGAATAAATAAAAATTTAAATGATAAAATATATCTAATTAATACTTCTATAATGTTCTTATCTTGTATTTGTCGAATTGTTATAACGGTAAACGTATGCACCTATTTGTCTAATCAGTATGTCAAAGATTAGATCGTTGTTATTGAAAATATTTGCATTTACATTTTACAGTGACAATAGTAGCTGATATGAATAGTTGGAGAACAGATAATGAAAAATCAAGTACAGCAATGATAGTAAGTGGCAGAAGGGTTATGCTTGATGATAGAATTTTTCTAATCTTATATAATCAGACTAGTGTTGTTATAGAGACTCTTGGACGTTTTGGATCTTATGTTTCTTGTAAGATTTTTCTTTAAGTCGTACGATAAGAATTATTCGAAGTCTTGCAGTTATAATGAGGGTACAATTTTAATTTATCTACATCGTGTCGGATCATATGTCTTACTTTTTGACTTGGGTATAACTAAGTGATTTACGGTTGTTTAGAAGAAAAGACAAGGACGTCGCACACGTGCTCACATGACAAATATTTTTGTTTTCTCTACAAGGCTGTTGGTTACACTCACTTTGTCACAATCATGATTATGTAAGTCAGTTTAGGATCGAAAACAAGTAAAATAAATGCATAGTTTCTTATTCTACGGATTACCATGTAATTTGACATATTAATAGAACAGCATAAGATCGGATTATTGAGTTTCTATTTGTAGAAGACAACAACTATTATTTTTTTTTGTTTGTTTATATAGAGCAATTATTCATTAAAAGATACCATACACATGGATCGTCTTCAATCTACTTCATCGACAATTCACACTTTTTTTTTTTTTTTTTGAAAATAAACATTTCCAAGAGTTTTTCTCTATAAATGTTGATTCAATGATCAACATTTTAAGTCATATTTTGGCTAAATTTTAAAGTTTTTTTATATCATTTTGCCAAGAAGAACAAAGTATATAACATATCTGAAAATCAATATGAAGTCTCTAACAATGACTGAATGATAACCGATATACTGTGAAAATAATGACTACACTTTTTCTCGACAAATTACCAGTCATCAATAGTATTTGACAAATAATTCTGTATGAGTGCATAAAAATATAATATGTATTCAGTATTCGATGCTCAGGCTTTTGATAGATAGCTAACACGAAAAATTTTGTTAATTTATTCCCATTTTTTCCAAAAATTAACTCTGTATCAACGATATTTAATGATATTCTCTAAATAAAATCAGTAACATCAATACTCGACAATACAATCGGATTAACCTTTCACGATGTTAACTAAATATACTAAAATTATGAATGTGAAGGTTTAATATGAGCGTTGTAAAATTTTAGAGTGTCATTTGTATGGAACTCTATTTTTTGGTCTTAGTATTTTCTATTCACTACAGCACAATGTATTTATAGAACAAAAACTTTCAAATAGGTTATATTTTTGTTTGTTTTTTATCAAATGTGTGTTTTCATTTCTATTTTTAATTTATTTATTTAATGAAATATCATTTAATAAAAAAAGGAGCTTATTTGAACAAGCAGACTTTGTCTGAAAGTTTTTCTCTTATCCTAGATGCATAAGCAGCAAGAACTCGATGAAACTAGATAAATCTGGACATAGAGGAGGAAAGGTAAAAAATTGGGAGTTTCATCTGGATATTCTTTATAGAAAATCTGTTTTAGATAATTCCGATTAAGATAAGAATATCAAATTCAAAAATAAAATTTTTATGTGTGCTTCGTTTTCTGGACGGCTTCATGCAAGGTTGCTCTTTTAGTGAGTAATCGACTGTAATGCAGTCAAATTTTCTTTCTGATTACTCTTTCATTATTTATGTATGTTGTTATTATGATCGAAATAAACAACACTCAGTCAAGCATGACCTAAAAAAAGTATTTATGTTTGAATAAAATGTTAGTGTTTTATCTGCTTTGGCTTTCAACATGGTATCGTTTAGATCAAAAGAAAGAAAATTAATCATACTTTGTCTGGCTCTCATTTTTGTACTTACTAGCTATCATTCTTTTGACAGCTATTATGTTTGTCATGAGTTTGAAAAAAATATTTGGTCTCAATTTAAATGCTCTTCGAATAATTTTTATCCTTGCATTGCTATACTTGTTGAATTTCGTACAGTTAATCATATTGTTTCTATTGTTCACAATGTTAATAATCATATTCCATCAACATGGCCAATTCAAATATTTCATGGAAATGATAATGAAGGTTTTATTAGAAATTCAACTTTAGCACCATTAATTGCATCAGGAAAAATATTTCTTACTTTAATGAAAGAAGTTTATGGAAAAAATCGAACAAATGAATTATTAACAGATCGTAAATTTTGGCAACAAGTTCGTGGTGAAAAAATCCTTTTTTTTCAAATCGATTCAGTTATATGTTCAAATTCTCCACATAAAATTACTGATTTTCTTCAATATGATTATATTGGTGCACCATGGGATCCATCTTGGTATCATCATAGCAAAGTCGATCTAGTCGGTAATGGTGGATTTTCATTACGAAGTCGCAGCAAGATACTTGCTTTACTTGCACTTCTTCCATATGATAATAAAGTGCCAGAAGATGTTTGGTATGCAGACAATTTACGTCTAGTAAATGGATCAATTGCTTCAGTAAATGTAGCTAAAACATTTGCAGTTGACACAGTATATTATGAAAGACCATTAGGTATACATCGATCTTTTACTACTTGTAAGATTCGTCAACAATTATTTAAAACATGTCCAGAAGCAATGATGATAATGCCAGAAACATGTGTATAAAAAATAGAAGACATCAATCAGAAATGATTATGGGATTAGATTTAATTATAAAAATTAAATTTTTTATTTTGTGTACTATCGTTTTTTGTAAAATATTTTGAAATCGTATTGAATTAAAACAATCATCTCATGTATATGAAAATTGTGAAGTTTTTTGAATATTTAAATTTCTAAATACCAAAAGAGATTAAAGTTGTAGAAAACGTGTCTACACAGGCAAAAACACAACTTTTTCAACATTCAAACTGAGTATTAGTAAAAAACGCTCTAACTCACTCGAACTGCTATTTAACTCGAAGTTAATATTAATTGATAGAGCTTCGAATTATACATCCATCGGACTTTAATCCAATTAGTTTGTTTTAAAATATCTTTGATAAAAAAAAGTCAAATACTATTTTGAACGTTCCACTTCTACCGACTCTAAGTCACTTCAAGTCATCCTCACTTAGGTCTTCAGACGAAACTAATTTTTGACAAGAAAACAGCTCTTAAAGTCACTCTTCGATATCTGAACTCATTTAACTTATGAGTAACATGCGATGCAAAAGCCTTTGGGAAAATGTCAAACTCTGCTAGATCATATTGCTAACTTCTAAATCAATCAAGTTTATTTTTGTTGAAAAGAGCAATGTCTGAACTACAAATTTTCTACCTGACTTTTTCTCTGGAATGAATCTATGAAGTAGAAGAAGTCAAAAACTAAATACCTTTAAAAAGGTTCTTGCAACCTGAAAAGTTTCTATTTCTCAACTATCTTGAGTAGAGATGTGCACGGGACCGAAAAACACTTTCTGGTCCGGGTCAAACATTGACCTGCTATTTCATTAGCTGTATTCTTAAATTATTCTGTAACAATGCATTGTATGGAGAAATTTTTGCTCTTCCTGTCTGTATGTTTTAAAATATTTTACAGATTCTCATTATGAACTAATTTAGCAAGTATAATGACTGGGACCAAACTAGTCCCGGTCCCGGTCGACTCTGACACCATTTTCTCCGGCTATGATAATCACATAGTGTTCGCGTTAGCCTTATATTGTAGAGAAAAGATTTCTCTACAAAACATAGTTTTCGAAACATTATTATGCTTCGAGGCTATAGAGAAATTTTCAATTCTAACACCGGGACCAGAATTAGTCATGCACATGTCTAATCTTGAGCTTCGTGGATCACATTTCTAACAAAAAATATACCAATATGTAGCACATCAAAAGTTCTATCGATTTCATCTTTGGTAAATGTTTTTAATATCAACTCTTAACTCTTTAATAAAAAAAAAAAATGAGTAAGTGAAATTTTTGTAAAATAGATTCTTTTTCAAGAACTATCAATTTGGAAAGGGATCAACCACAATATCCAGAAACTCTGTATGAACTGAATTCTTTGTGTGCTTTTTGTTCAAAATACCTCAGATCTCAAAAACTTAGCAGAAAAAAAGAATTAAAAAAAAAATCTTTTTTATTGTCGCAAAACGGTCAGATAGCAAAAAAAGATCAAATTATACAGTGTCATCTAGAAACAGATATATTTTTCTGAAGAAAACAAGGCTAAATTTAACTTCCAATATACTATTGAAAGGAGCACTGTTTATGCTACAAAAATCATTAGAAAACGTGCATTTTCATTTTGTTTCTGATGTAAAAAAATGAACACCAAATAGAAAATAATATTGTGCGAAGGTGAAGTTGCAAGAACTTTTTTAGAGGTGTTTAGTTTTTAACTTCTTCTGTTTCATGTATTCATTTCAGAAAAAAAAGTCAGGTAGAAAATTTCTAGTTCAGACATTGCTCTTTCCAACAAAAATAAACTTCCTTGATTTAGAAGTTAGCAATATAATCTAACAGAGTTTGACATTTGTCCAAAGACTTATGCATTACATATTACTCTATTGTTGTTCTTCTATGAGTCCTTTGTTCTCTATTCTCGGAACAATCTTTCCATACATATAATTAAAGAAATGAATGTTCTACATGTGCACTACGAAATCGGTCACATTACTTTTACTATTGTTTTTTTGCAGAGTCGATATCATGCCTCGTGCGCTTATTCTACTTGGCTTGCATCCAGCTGATCCATCGATGTTAAAAGTACCGCTTATATCTGTAACAGATCGTTATGGTTAAGAATTATAGTAATTCGAAATAAAAACAATGAATTAAGAGAAGAATAGGGCGTCGAACACGTGCTTATGCAACATAATTTTTTTTGCTTTCTGTACAAGGTCGCTGCTCCTACACACAGACATATATTGTGATAAACATGATTAGATGATTCAGCTAAAACTCACAAAGAGAATGAATTGATGACCTGTTATTTTTAGGAATTATCATGTGATTTCATATGTCAATACGACAGTGTGACGTCTGATTATTGAATTTATATTCGTAGAAGACAACAACTATTGGCTGCTTTGTTTATGTAGAACACTTATTCATGAAAAATTATCATACACATGGAGAAAGTCTTTGATCTACTTCATCAAGTGTTGTTCTCTTGAAAATATACATTCACAATTATTTTTCTTTATAAATGTTGATTCAGTGATCCACATTGTAAACCATATTTCTGAAGAACTCTTATCTTTTTTTGAACATTTTCTACTACCGTTTTTTTGAGGACAACAAGCTGCATAGCATAGCTGAAAGCGAACGTGAGGTATTTAACAATGACTGAATGGTATACGATATATTGTAATAAGAATGATCACACTTTTTCTTTAAAAAATGACTAGTTGTCGATACTTTTTAGCAAAAAATCTGTATCATTCGATGAAAAGATAATATATATTCAGTATTTGATGCTCAAGATTTTGATAGAGAGCAAAAAATTTGCGTAATCAATTTCCATTTTTCAAAGGTCGACTTTATATAAACGATAACTAATGATATTCTCTAAATAAAATCAGTAATATCAGTGCTCGACAATACATTTTTAGGTGACTTTAATTAACATGAAAACATCAAATTCAAAAACTGATTCTTCACGAATGCTTGAATGCTACAATGGATTCATGATCGCTCATTTAGTGAGCACTTGACTCTAATACAATCAATTTTTTTTTCTAGTTACCCTATAATCACTTATTTACGTTGTTATTATCATCGAAATAAGCAATACTCAGTCAAGCATGACCTAAAGAAAAAGTATGCATGTTTGAATAAAACGCTAGTGTTATATCTCTACTAGTTCTCAACATGACATCGGTTAAATCGGCGATCAAGAACTTAATCATACTCTTCTTGGCACTCGCTTTTATATTAAATGCCAACTATTCTTTTTTAAGTCATCGTATTTATTGTGAGTGTGAAAAAAATAATTCTTCTCTATTTAATCACTCTTCGAATAGTTTTTATCCTTGCATTGCTGTGCTTGTCGAATTTCGTACAGTTGATCATATTATTGCAATTGTTGATAATGTTAATCATCATATTCCATCAACATGGCCAATTCAAATATTTCATGGAAAAGATAATGAAGGTTTTATTAGAAATTCAACTTTAGCACCATTAATCGCATCAGGAAAAATCTTTCTTACATTCATGAGTCAAACTTATGATCGTTTTCAAACAAATCAATTATTAATAGATCCAAAATTTTGGCAACGTGTTCGTGGTGAAAAAGTCCTTTTTTTTCAAATCGATTCAGTTATGTGTTCGAATTCACCACATAAAATTACCGATTTTCTTCAATATGATTATATTGGTGCTCCATGGGATTCATCTTGGTTTATATTTAGTAAAGTAGATTTTGTCGGTAATGGTGGATTCTCATTAAGAACTCGTAGTAAGATACTTGCTTTACTTGCACTTCATCCATCTGATAATAAATTACCAGAAGATGTTTGGTATTCGCAAAATTTACGTCGAGTAAATGGATCAGTTGCTCCAGTAGATGTAGCTAAAACATTTTCTGTTGAATCAATATATTATGAAAGACCATTAGCTGTACATCGGTTTCCATGGCGATGTACGCCCCGTGAAAAATTATTTGAAACATGTCCAGAAGCAATGATGGTCATAAAGGGACCATGCCAAAAATAATAGATGACATTAATAAAAACAAAGAACCGTGAATATAGATTTATTTTTCAAATTACATTTTTATTTTGTGTAGTGTCATTTTTCTTTATCAACTTTTCAAATAAAAAGTGAATTAAAGCAAACGTCTCTAGTATATGATAATATTTTTTTTTAGAATACATAAATTTTTAACTATTGAAACAGACGAAAATTGTAGAAAATGCTTCTATGTAGTCAGAAACACAATACTTTTAACATTGAAAGGCATGGGTAACAAATCGTCGTGTAGATGTCAAAACTATCTTTACTGCAATATTGTAAATAGGCACAACTATTATTTGATTATTGCTTTTTCGCATGTATACATGCAAAATATCCGTCTTCTTAACCTTTTGATGTTTATTTTGGTTTATACGGATGTAGATGCTCTAGAATTTAAACTTTGATACTTGTTGTGACAAACATTTTATTTGAATGATTAACATATTCATTATATAGGATAGTGAAAAAATCCAGTCATTTTCAAATATATATTCATAGGAGAAAAAATTGCTTATTTATTACCAGTAAATGATTGAGATATTTTCTATTATGTTCAATACAGAGTTGCTTTATCTAAATCCATTTTTGAAAACTCGTTCGATACTGCTGAATAGATATCGAACTGAGCTCCTTGATTATTGCTTTACCTAAACTTTGGCATATAGATGTGTATCAACGGTACGCTTCAGATAATAGAACAATAAAATATCTGAACGAGCAAAGCAAAGCGTACATATTAAATTAATGATGATTTCGATGTTTTCTCTTGAAGATAATTAAGATTAAGAACAATATCATGTCTATGTGATTTTGTATTTTGGTAATGCAAACTTATGGTACATATTGTTAAATATGTTTTCATATGTAAATTTTTGATTAATATATTCAAGTATTCATCAAGTTAGTTTATATTAAAACTATGTCTTATATGGTAATAATTTAATAAATACCAATATGTGGATCAGTAAAAATCTGAAAGCCTGAACATTAATGAGCTCTATGTAAGAAAATTTACGAGAGAAATGGTTGTATGATAGTGATACTCACTTCACGCTGCTTCTTCACACAAGAAATCGTCCAGTTTACCAAGGTCATACATTTATATACAAGATGAAAGCAATATGTTTTATGTTAACAGTATTCAACATTAAAGAATTGTTCTTTGAGTATCAGAAGCATATGTAACAAACCTCCTTTATTGGCTCTCTCTTACTTCTTGAGTTATAATCTTCATTTTTTAGAGAATAGGTACACTTTTAACATTTCCAGATGCTCTTGCAAATTACTATTTGTTTGTTGAAATTGCTCACGTAGTTGCAAAGACATATTGATAGGAAAATTCTTGACTACTTTTTTCCCCATACTTTTCTTCAAGAATCATCTTCCAATAACTATCATATACTTTAAAATCAATGAGCCCAA